GGGGCCGCTCCTGCGCGGCCGCGTCACGTGGGGCTGGGCGAACTCCCAGCGGGCCCCGCGCCTCGTGGGGCCGTTCACCCGGGCTTGTGTGAAAGTGAGACTCTCTCTGTTTAGGTGTGAAGAAAGAGCCATGACAATCCAGTGGGCGGCGGTTGCCAGCTTCCTCTATGCTGAAATAGGACTCATTTTAATCTTCTGTCTGCCCTTTATTCCTCCTCAGAGGTAGGAAACCTTCAAATCTTTAGCAGTTCCTAATGTTGGATTGGCTTCTTCAGCCTCCTGCGAGAGACGCTTGTCGTAGGGTTAGCAAGTTTTGAGAGTGCCTGCAGGGTGGCTCGGTGGGCAAAGGGCGCTTGAGGCCAAGTCAGAGAATTTCAGTTCGATCCCCGGAAACCACATGGTGGAAAGGGAACCGACTCTACAAAGTTGTCTTCTGACCTCCACACATCCACCCTGAGATACACTGAAACACGTGTGGGGGCCTGGGGGAGGTGAAATAAAGAAAAAGAAAAGTTTAAGAGCCAGTTATATAAAATATAATATTATATTACATATATATAAACTACATGTGTAAAAGTTTACCAATATATATACTTAAGGGATTTTTTCCCCTCACTTTACATATATGTCATATCTCAGTTTTTTTGTATTCCCTTTTGGTTAAAGAAAGAAATTGTTTTACTGAGAGTAGACGATAGAAGCATACCGTATAAAAATAGACCTGCAGAAGCCAAATACAGTAGTAATTTCCATGCCACCATGGTGAGACTGTCTCAAATAAGTAGAGAATTAGATGTTGCAAATGGTTAGATCAAAAGACACCATTTCTGAGACATTGCTCTAACTAGGGAAAAAGAAATAGCATCCATTAAAAATATGACATTTTAGTTTAAGAATTTCTTTTTGGGCTATTGAGATAGTTCAGTTGGTAAAGTGCTTAGCATACAAGCTTGAGCATCTGAGTCTGATCCTGGAGCCTGTGCGAAAGCCAGGGATGGTTGCGTAGGTTTATAATCCCAGTGCTAGAGGCAAAAGTAGGCAGATTCTGTAGCCAGCCTCTCCTAACCAGTGAATCCCAGGGAGACTGTCTAAAGGAAGCTAGGAACATATCAGATTAACCCTACTTTACAGGCATGACTCATGCACACAAACCCATGCCCACATTTCTTTTTGAGGTTTTGCTCATGTATGTTTACTTTAAAAGTTATTTTCGCCAGGTGGTGGTGGAGCACACCTTTAATACCAACACTTGGGGGGCAGAGGCAGGTAGATCTCAGTGGGTTCGAGGCCAGCCTGGTCTACAAAGCAAGTTCCAGGACAGCCAGGAATGTTACACAGAAAAACTGTGACTCAAAAAAAAAAAAAAAAAAAAAAAAAAAAGTTGTTTTCATTTTAGAATATATAAACCATCAGACAAAAGATAATCAAATGTCTTTAATTAAAAATAATTATTTCTATTTCATGTCATGTCAGAGGATTAATAGCTTTTACAATTAAATTTCTCTAATTTTTGCCACACTAGAAAAATATTATTTCAGTATTTACAAAAAATTTCAAAACCTGCTCTTGGTTTGTTTGTTGTTTCTGTTGTTATTTTTTGTTTGTTTGTTTGGTTTTTTAACTAATCTAATTGTATTGCTTTACAGATGGCAGAGGATTTTCTCATTTAGTGTCTGGGGTAAAATTGCAAGTTTTTGGAACAAAGCTTTTCTTACTATTATAATCCTATTAATCGTTCTATTTTTAGGTAAGTAAGTACTAGATTCCTCCTTTGAATCCAGTTCAGTAAATTATTTGGATTTTGATTGTTTAAGTTGATGATATTGATATATTGAAAGACAAATCATTTTATATATTGATATTAAGGTAATTTTGACTATTTTGATACATATTTGGTACTATTTTATATACACAAATTTCAGGTGCAGTGATTCTTAACCTCTTGTAGTTTAGTTACTCTGAAGTTTCAATGGAATGAGTGGCCTTCTTTCCAGCTGCCAGATTTAATTACCAGTTGCAGTCTTTGCTATTGTCCTGGGCACCCAGGGACTTGGCCTGTATGCAACAAAGGAACGGAATTCCAAGATCCTTAGGAAAGTATGAGTTTTCACTGAATCCTGATGGAAAAACAGCTTTGGGGGCTGCTGCAAATTTTTCTTAATACTAAGTGGTTATTAGGTAGTGTTGGGATTTTGCTCTCCTGATGGCAGTGCATCTTAAAGTCTGTGGCTCAGAGGCCTGTTGTAAGGATGGTTTTACTGAAGCATCACCATTCTTGCTTCTGCATATGGTCTCTACCTCCTTCCACAGACATCTCCAGAGTGTAGTATTGCAGCTGGTAAGCCCTAAAAACATCCATTGCCTTTCCCTTTGTCTAAAACATCTATCCCTTTGTTTAAAAAAAAAAAAAAAGTTACTAACAGTTTTTATGTAGGTATATGTCTTTAATCTGAGAAGATGCATACTGAAATATTTAAGGGAAAGTATCAATGAGACTGTAGATTGAAAAACATTGAGCAATATATGACAAATTTCACAGTTTGAATCCATATGGTGGAATTAAAGATGTGTACTGGACAGATTGAACATCCCTAACTGAAAATTCTAAATCTAAAAATTTGAATTCAAAGAATCGGAAACATGTTAGCACCAGCAGGCTAGCATAGGTGGAAAATTCCACCCCTCATTCTGTGTGGTAGATCACAGGCCAAACCCAAGAAAAGTAAAAGACGTTATCTGAAATTAACTGCAGGTTCACATCTATAAACTATGTATAAAATGTAATGAGTTTCATGATTGTATTTGGAAGAGTCACTCTTTGCCACTTCAGCTTTTAATATACATTGCAAAATACATTTTCCCTAGGAACCCCTCACAACTCTCCTTATGGATTAAGTGGGTTCATTGGCAGCAACTTGGAATTTTTACCACTGTGTTTGACGTTTTATGCAAAAATGTTTTATGTTCCAGACACCAACCTTTGAAATAAAGTTGATCTTCTTCATAAAATTGAGAACATCTATTGTGAAGGGGTATAAAATTGTTAAAAACAAGAAGGGAAGCCAGGCATGATGGTACACACCTTTAATCCCAGCACTGAGGAGCTAGAAGTTGAGGCTGATAGATAGATAGATCTCTGAGTTCCAGGACACCCAGCCCCACATAGTGAGACCCTGTCTCAAAACAATAACAAATCAAGAAGGGAATTGTATCAAGTTTTAATGAATTTGTATCACATTCCTATAATATTGGGTCTAGTTAAGGCAGACAGATAAGACTTATCCCAACATGTTGGTGTCTTCATCTCAAATGGGCTATTGCCTACATTACTAAAGTGATGTAAATAGTGCATAACCCAGTAGATTACTCGACCTTAATTCATTTCTTACTTTGGAACTTGTTTCCTTTTTCTTGTTGTCATGTAGCTATTATGTAGTATTTATATTTCTGCAGCCAAAACTTGAGTATTTATCATATGTGTGTGGGTTAGGGTAATAAATAACAGACATCAAAGTAGCAAAACCAAGAACATATGTCTTTCCACAGAAGTACATTCCAGAAATTAGAAAAATTTAAAACTTACCCTCCAAAAGACTCTTCATACATTTGATTTATAGAAAATTAGGCTCTATCACGTTATTCCCTTATTGTTGGCCCTAGTCCATTTTCAACATACTCTAGAATTGAAAACAAACCAGAATAAATGAACTAAATAGTATATTAGATAGCATGTTGCAGAGAAAAGAATAATTTCAAGCAGCAAATATATTTTATGAACACAAAGAATTGTAATGAAATCTGAAGCTTCATTCACGAGCAATTTAAAAAATACTTTGTGTATGTTACAACACAGAGCAAATGAGCAAGTATGCTTAATGGTATTGGAAATAAAGTTTTTCAGTAAAAGAAATGCCATACAAATGTAAAGTAATAAAATGAGCAAATGAGCCTCTTTTTTTTTTTTTTTTTTTTTTAATTTATTGTGGAATGCTTTGTTGGGGTTTTATTTTGAAGTGATAGAAATGTGGCACTCTTTAGAGATCATGGCTATGAACTATTGTGAAGTAAATACAATTTATTTTAACCAATCTATACAAGTAGAAATTTCAATGCAATGAAATAGTTCTGGTCTCAATTATTTAAAGTAGTAGTGAATATAATAGGATTCTGGGATTATATCTGTTGCTGACAGCAGGTTGAATTTTAGTCGTGCATAAAAGTAGAAAGAGTAAGAGATAATGTTTCACATTAGATCAAGATTTGGCAGTGAGATGATAAGTAAACCATAGAGGAATGATTTTAAAATACTGTAGTAGTGATCCTTAAATTGCCACTACTATCCATCTTTGTGCACAGTACCCTCTCAGGTACTAAAGAGGGACAAACAGAAAGAAAGCCATATCTAAAATCCATTATTATAAAGGTTGGTAAGTTATTCTACAACTACTTGTTGTTTAAAATATTTTTACTTGAAAACCAAAAGTAATGTTTTTTCTCCTGTAATAGATGCTGTGAGAGAAGTAAGGAAGTACTCCTCCACTCAAGTCACTGAGAAGAACTCAGCCGGCAGGCCTGGTGCCTATGAGCACACACAGATGAAGCTCTTTAGGTCCCAAAGAAATCTTTATATTTCTGGATTCTCTTTATTTTTTTGGCTGTAAGTAAAAATCTGTACAAGCACAGCTTTAACACTCGTAGAATTCTCTTTCTGCTTTCTCCCCCCACTTACACCTTAGTTTTTTGTTGACATCTTCATAAAAGAATGCAGATGATATACTCAAATAACAAATAATTGTTGCACTGAAGAAGGCTGGGAATGGAAGACATGGCCTTCCCCAGGGAAGAGCACAACAATTGGTTATCCAGTGCCAAACGTTCAGCCCTGAAAACATACATTCAGGTAGCATTATACGGACTGAACAGGTTATATTTAGGAATATATATGTATATACATGCAATAACAATTAGAAAAAAGAAAGAAAGAGAAGCCATCAATTTGAAGGAGAATAAGTAGAGGTATATGGAAGGATTTGGAGAGAGGAAAGGGAAAGGAGAAATGTTATAAATAAAAAGGGACAAAAGTTACAACTCATAGATCTGCTGGTTGCAAAGGGCCTTGAATGATTTGGGTGCCGACTTTCTGGATCCTTCTCATACTGTTCTGCAATACACAGAGTACATTGCATTCCCACTCTTCTTCACTATTCTTTTGAAAAAGTTACCGAGTTTATCAGATATCTTTGTCCTTCCTACCTGAGTCATCATACAAGCTATTCTTCTCCTGGACTACGCTTCCCTCCCTGCATCTTTTTTGTTTGTTTTTCCGGTGGCTGAAGAACTGCTTTTATTAGGGGGTGAGGGAACACAGAGATAAAGACCCTCCAAACAGCAGGGCGTGGGGCTTGGGAAGCTGAAGCCCTGTTCTTTTCTTTTTGAGACAGAGTCTCACTATGTAACCCTGACTGGCCTGGAGCTTGCTATGGAAGGCAGACTGACCTTGAACTCACAGAGATCTGCCCACCTCTGCCTATCAAGTGTCAGAATTAAAGGCTAACCTGACCATACCTGGCCTTCTCTTATTAACTTTTGCCTATCCTTTAGCCGCTTTCTCCAAGAAGCCCTGTCACCGCCATTTCCTCCAAAGTAGATTGGTCTGTTAAAGTTCTCAGACCGTGTCTAGACTTCAACTTCTGGTGCCTTTCACAATTAAATATTGTTTATATCTCCAACTAGAGGCCCAGGGTAGTGTTACACCTTTAATCCCAGCATTCAGGTGGAAGATGCAGGCAGATTTCTTGGAGTTCCTGGACAGCCTGGTCTACAGAGCAAGGTCCAGGACAGCTAGAGCTGTTATACAGAGAAACCCTGTCTCGGGGGAATATATATATATATATATATATATATATATATATATATATATATATATATATATATATAATATCTCCAGTTAGAACTTAAACTTCAAGGCAAAAACTAAGTTCATTTTCAGCTGTGACCCCAGTGCCTTAGTAAATAGCTGCTGAAAAAGATAACTGAAGAGATTAATTATAATATCTAGCAAAGGGGGTTACCTATAAACATGAAAATGTTCATTTTTTAGACTTAGCCACCCTTACAAAATGATCTTTAAACTGTAAATTTCAAACTAGACCAAAAGGGAGCGGGGAGAGATTGATTTTCCTGCTAGTCTTACAGTACCATCTAAAATTCCATCTTACTCCTTTAGGCTAAAGGCCTGTAGAGGAAAAATGAATACCACTGTGTGTGTGAGGCCCTGAGGTGCCGCCACATCTGTGTGTTGCGATGCTTGTCGTCCAGCAGAGGATGCGAAGGAGGGAAGCGCAGTGTGATTGAACTGCCAGGCTTGGATGGTAAAGAGGAGATGTTCTGTTTAAACATCCTCTCCACGACCGTTTCTCTAGACATAGCAGGGGTCATTTGACAATGGCTATTTGTGTTAAAGTCAGAGTTCCCGATGAGTAATCTAGTTATGCATTATTCTGAACTTCATTTGTTTTTTCCTCAGAGTGTTGAGACGTCTGGTCACGCTTATTACTCAGCTGGCAAAAGAAATAACAAACAAAGGAGTGCTTAAAACTCAAGCAGAAAATACTAGTAAGGCTGCCAAGAAATTCATGGAAGAGAATGAAAAACTAAAATTGGTATTTAATTTTCTTTATAGAAAATTGTTTAAATGCTGTTGATGTTCACAAGGAGTAATGTACTATTTTTTAGCATCAAAAGTAGTATTTTCATAATTTATCAGGAGAAAGTGGCACAAACCAGAGCATTGTTCTGTGATTACATTTATTTATTTATTTACTTACTTAGAATTTCTGAGAAACACTTTGTAGATGAGGCTGGCCTTGAACTGGAAGATCTGCCTGCCTCTGTCCCCTGAGTGCTGGGATTAAAGGCATGCCCAGCTGATTACTATTCTTTAGGGTTGCTTGCTCCCACACTTTCCCTCAATATAAACTGATACCAGTGTCCCATTTCTGTGATTCCAAGAGGAAACATTATTGGAGCACACATTTTTTAATAGTTTTTTGGTAATTAAACTTTTTCTTTAACAAATTCATACATGTATGTAGTGCATTCGATTTACTCTCATCCCCTGACCCCTCTTATCCCTTTCTCCTCTCCCCTACAGCCCCCCCCCACACACACACACACACAGGTCCCCTTTCCATGTTCCTATCTTTTGTTTTGCTTTGTAGTGCCCTGGGCTTAACTAAAGCCTTCTGTGACCATGGCATAGCACTATCTATTGTAGCTGGGTGGGCTCCCCAGTGCATACACAGCTAATGACTCCCTCGCTTCCAGAATCGCTCAGTAGTCAGGAGTTCAGCAGGGATGGATGGCCCCATGACCAACCGACCATGGCTGACTGTTGACAGGGGCCCAATGAAAGTAACTACAGCTGCTGTGAGTTAAGATGACAGTGGCTGTCATACCCAGAATATGTCCATTCTTGGAATACAAATTTACAGTCCTCTATTACCATTAATTTTACTTCATAACTTGAATTAAATCTTTATAGTTCTCTGTGTGCATTTCTCTTTCAGTTAAAGTATGATTTGTTGTATATGAAGTAGTGAGATATTATTGAGACATTGATATTTCTCCTAATTTTTAAATCTTTTTACAAATCTTATGCTGCTTATATCTTCTGATATCCAGGGAATACATATGTCTGTCAAATACTGAGGTTTGCCCTATTGACAAATAAATAGAAAAATGAAACACAAAATTAATTTGATTTTTAAAATCTGATGATCTCATAGATTCAGTATTTCAGTTCATACAAATTCCCTGAGTTTTACCGAATCTAATTCTTAGAGAAAAGATTCACTGGAACTTCTAGTAAATGAAACACATTTTCTTGAGGAAAGTGTTTTTAGAATCATACATTAAGATTATTTCTCGGCCGGGTGGTGGTGGCGCACGCCTTTAATCCCAGCACTCGGGAGGCAGAGGCAGGCGGATCTTTGTGAGTTCGAGGCCAGCCTGGGCTACCAAGTGAGTTCCAGGAAAGGCGCAAAGCTACACAGAGAAACCCTGTCTCGAAAAACCAAAAAAAGAAAAAAAAAAGATTATTTCTCAAAGCCGGGTGTGGTGGTACACACCTTTATTCCCAGCACTCGGGAAACAGAGGCAGGCAGATCTCTGAGTTTGAGGCTAGCCTGAGTGAGTTCCAAGACAGCCAGAACTACATAGAGAAACTCCTATCTTGAAAACAGCAACAACAAAAAGATTCAAATATAGTCTTCACATTATACCAAGTTAATGTCATGTTCAGCAGTAGAAAGAGAAAATCCTGAGCTCAGTCTTGAAGCTTAGCCTTTATTTAAAAAAAAAAAAAAAAAAAAAAAAAAAAAAAGACCTGCCTGCAAGCACTGCCTTCCATTGGTTGTAAGCTAGGCAGCTATCATATGGACAATAGGAAGAGTTCTGTGACCTTGTAAATTAGGCAAAATTCATTATCACCTACTTAAAACTTCTGTTTCGCTTTTTATGATATTTGCCTCACTTATATGGTAACAAAAAAGGTAGGGAAAGACCTCTTTTCATAGAAACATAATTTTAAAAATGCGTGTTTATGAATAGGTTATTAGCATCTTTTATGGAAACAGCATGTTAAAAACAGTTTACTTTTTTTTGTTTTGTTCTTGTTTTTAAAAATTTATTGTCACATATGCATGATGTGTGGAGAGGGTATGCATGCCACATTACAACTCTTGGGAATCGGTTCTCCCTGTCTGTCTTCACATGAGTCACAGGGGTTGAACTCAGGTCACCAGACTCACACAGCCAATGCTTTTACCCACTGAGCCATCTCCCAAACCTGTGTTCTGTTTTGAAAAAGCATTGATCATTGATGTCTTCTGTACTTCCTCTTAAAGTAGTATTCTCTAGAAATCAAGATGTAGGTGTGATCTGTATTAAAGGCCAGTAGTCAGTACTTTCTGCTTTCGCAGGAGAGGTGTTTGTTTCAACAGGACAATCAATTTCATTTTGTCCTCGATGTTTGCGTGATTGTCTACCTTTTGATCTCATTTCACAATGGTAAAATCAAACCTTGTATATATTGATTAAATTCAAAAGCCCAGCTTTGTATCTATGGGAAGACTTTCATTAATCTTTATTGCTTTGAAATTGGGCACAACATCTTAGAGTAGTTATAACTATTGTTGGGGCACACACATACCCTTTTATTTGTTGTCCTCTTAATCTTGAACTATAAGCAAAAAGTATTTTTACAGAGTTTTTGATAACATAATTCTTCACATATGCAGCATAACCAATGGAATTAATTTAGTCTTGTCCGTCAAAGCATCACTTCCTCAAGAGAACTTTGGAACTCTTCTTTTGGAATTATTTTCAAAGCACTCATGGTTGGAAATTTATTACTTGCTTGCTGGTTCCTGGGCCTCCCTCAATTTCAGCCTTTTTTCTGGTTTCCTGCTTGCTGTATAGCTCTGACCCAGTCAGTGGTCCGAGATCATCAGATATGCTATACCAAAGCTAGTATGCAGTGAGAAGGAAATTTGTGAACTGGATAAATTCTGTCAATATACTCAGAGTATAACTAATAGACTGATAAAGTGATCAATAAAATCCATAGGTAAAAATATAAAAAAATGTTTTTATTTTATGTGGGCTTTGAAATATTAGTGAAAGAATGATAAAATTGCTAAAAAATACTTCTTTATTCTGTATACTGAATATTCTGTATATTATCTAGCAGAAAACACACAATCCTGGGATTCAGAGACGTTCAACTGGGTACTAATGTCAGCACTATAGTAACTGGCAGTGTGACCTAGGGCAACTCCTCATAGGTTCTGAATTTCAAGGTTCTGTGGCTTTAAATAATAGTTAATGCTATGCCAAATATTACTTCAGGTGCTTCACAGTAAGATATTAACTCTTTTAATTCTTGAACAATCCCATGAGGTTTGTATTGTCTGCATTTTATAGCTGAGAAAACAGGGAGAGAATGGGTAATAGTAAAAATAAATGATACAGTTACGGGATGTTTGAGGCCATGCAGCCTTACTGTGGTACCCACATTTACAACCACATATTTTGTCCCCTCAACTACTATAATGTTCTATAAAAATGATGCCTCTTTGGTGCCCAAGGTCAGTTTCTCTTATGATAATTCAGTTGAAGTTAACTTTTGTTTGTGTTTCAAGGCAGATTCTCTTTAAGTAGCCAAAGCTGGTCTTGAAATCACAATATTCAGGGTAGAGAGATGACTCAGAGGTTAAGAGCACTTGCTGCTCCATCTTCCACAGGACCCTGGATTCAGGTCCCGGCACCTACACAGTGGCTTACAGCTGTCTGTAACTCTAGTTCCAGGGGATCTGATGACCACTATTGGCCTCCATGGGCACCAAGCACACATGGTACACAGATATACATAAAAATAAATACAACTTTAAAAAGAAAAAGAAATCAAAATCCTCCTTCCTCAGCTTGTTACCCAAATACTGGTAATTCCGATGTGTGCTTCCATACCTTGCTCTCAGTTAATTTTAACTGAACTGCTTTAAAATGGCAGCATGGAGCTCTCTACCTCTCACTGACCTTTACTCCCACCAGCTTCCAGGGTGGATGAGAGTGGGTGGGCTGGTGAAGACAAGTGTTCCTCCTGTAGCTGGGAGCTGTCGAGTTGCAGACTCCAGAGCTCTTGGTCTTTCTCCAACATGAAATTAGGGATAATAAATTGGAGCAGTTTTACAGGTGCAGTAATGAAAGCTTATTTACAAGACTGCCACAAATCCAGCTTTTCCAAGTCGGTGGCATAAATAATTCAAGCAGTCACTGTAAACATTCCTGCAGCTCAGTGGTTCCTTTCCAATTTTGGTAATCACCCTAGTGCAGTAATCCTCTACAGTGAGCTTTTTAAGTTTTTAAATCTGCCCTGACTTTACAAATGTAGCTCTTCTTTTCTAGGCTAAAATTGTTTTGATCTTGAAGTAAGTAACAAATTGAAAGAGGCTTAGAGAAGTTCTTATCCTGCTTTTTCAGACAAGTTTTTTGATTCTAAAAGGTCTGATGCTCTCTCCGTTTCAGAGTATGCTCCGAGACTCTGCTCTCTTAAAAGCTATTTAAGAGATAGTGTGTTCACTGGAGCTTTAATCTCTCCTCAGAGCTGCCTACTCCTGTCCTACTCCAACATGGTGGTGCCATGTTTGTGCTTATTCCAGCCTTATGCTCCTGCTTTTCCTTTCTACCAAGTGAAAGTTACCAAAGAAAGAGTATAGGCCATGGTTCTCTTACACTGTCTTTCATGCTAAAATGTTTGCATCCACTCACTAGATTTTCTGAGTGTTGTCTGTTAAATGTATCCCTTTGATGTAGAAGTTCTTAAATTATGTTTTCCTAACCATGGAAGCCACCAGAATTAAGCTGCTGCCACTGTTTAATCTACTGGCCCATGCTTATGAATACATAAATTTATTTTCTATTTATCTTGTGTGTGTTGAGGAGAGGGATACTAGTCCATGTGCATGTGTGTGCACATGAGCACGGAGGTCAGCGGTCAACCTCAGGTGTCATTCTTCAGGTACTGTTCAGTTTGTTTTTTGAGACAAGATCTCTGGTTGGCCCATAAGCTCCTGGAGTCAACTAGGCTGATTGGCAAAGAAGCCTCAGGATTTCTCCTGTCTCTCTCTCCCCAGTGTTCGAATTGTAGTAGGCAGGCTTCGCCATGCCTACCTGGTTTCTTTTTGTGGATTCTGGGGATCAGAGTCAGTGTGATAACTACTTTATTGACTGAGCTATTTCATTTTTTTTATTATTTTGTATGTATGTATGTATGTATGTATGTATTTACTTTTTGTTTTTTCAATACAGGGTTTCTCTGTGTAACTTTGGTTCCTGTCCTGGATCTCGCTCTATAGACCAGGCTGGCCTCGAACTCACAGAGATCTGCCTGGTTCTGCCTCCCGAGTGCTGGGATTAGAGGTGTGGGCCACCACCGCCCGGCTCATTTTTATTTTTAAAATAGTTTTAAAATATAATTTATCTTTCTTTGTAACTTAAATATTTTATGTTTCTTTTAATATACTTCTAGTTTCTAGTAACAGTGATGATTTCTATGTAGGCATGCAAGTTAGGAAATTTTTATTCTATGATGTTTACTGTTAGTTATTTTACTGTTCAGGTCTTTATTGTTTTACCTAGAAAGGACAAGCTACAAACATTATTATATCCAGAATTGATTTTGAAATATAAAGAGCAATTTAAATGATCAACTAAATTAAAGATTAATTTGGTACTGTTTAATGAAAACCAGAATTTTCCTACCTTAGAGATCACCTTACCATTTTCCATTTACCCATCTTCATCCTGGCAACTAGTGTAAAAGTAGTCTTGAGTAGACAAGACAGTGCAATTATAGCATGATTTGTACAACTAATATCAAACCTGGAACTGATTTTTTTTTAACATTAAATGTATATCACATCTTTAACTGAGGAAGGCAGTCACATTGAGTTAATTTTGAAAGCATAATTATAATTATAGCCCAATCAGAAATTCTTCCTTTGATTTCAGAAACGTCATCCATAATAATAACAAATCATTTTTTTAAATATTTTTAAATTATGTGTTTATGTGTGTGTGTCTGTGTGTGGTTTTATGCATGTGAGAAGTCAGAAGCATTGGATTCCCCTGGAGCTAGATTTATAGGGGGTTGTTGTACCAGGATTTTTTTTTTTAGGACCACCAACCAGCTCCCAAGTCATGACGAGGAGACTTATTATTAGTTATGAATGCTTGTCCTAGTTTAAGCTCATTTCTAGCTAGCTCTTTTAGCTTAAATTAACCTGTTATTCTTTAGCTACCTTTTTGCCTGGGGGCTTTTTACTTTTCTTTCTATGTATATTACTTTCACTGCTTCTCATGTCTAGCTGGCCCCAGGCTTCTCCCTCATTCTCCCCTTCTCCTTTGGTTCCTCTTCTCTCTTGAGCCTATATTTCTCCTCCTTATTCTTTCTGCCTGCCAGCCCCACCTATCCTTTCTCTGCCTAGCTATTGGCCAGTCATCTCTTTATTAGACCAATCAGGAGCTTTAAGCAGGCAAAGTGAAACAGATGCAACACATCTTTACATAATTAAACACACATCCTTACATCGTTAAACAGATGCAGCATAAACAAATGTAACACACCTTTACACAGTTAAAGTAATATTCCACGGCAGGTTGTGAGCTGCTGAACGTGGATGTTGGGAACCAAACTCAGGTCCTCTGGAAAAGCAGTATGTCTTCTTAACAGCTGAGCTGTCTCTCCAGCTCCACAATATCAATTTTGTGTGTTTGCTTGCTATATCAGGTTTCTATTAGCAAAAGCACTTTATAAAAAAATTATTAAATACTTAAAAAGACAAATTAATAAAAACCAATAATTTTAATTTATTTAAAAAATATCCAACTGTTGCAATATAAGCTTATTTCTTCATATAACTCTTTTATGATAGGTACTAAAAAACCATGGCAAAGATGAAGAAAACATTTTGGAAACTGAAAATAAAAAACTAGTAGAAGACCAGGAAAAATTGAAAACTGAATTGAAGAAGGCTTCGGATGGTGAGTTTGTGTGCATGTGAAAGGGGAAGGACTAGCAGACATTGTATGCTGTCCCATATGCCTTACTGTTTTACCTTAAACAAAACTAATAGCTAATGCCCTCGGGCCAAGCACTAATAATGACCTATTTGTAAATTTCTGTTCAAATAAGAGATTAAAACATTGTGCCAAGAGAAACATGTTCTGTTATGCAGAAACACAGGTAGGTGTTTCAGATCTGTGTTGTAAATACAAATGTCCTTACCTCAGCGAAAGAGCTGTGAGCCTGAAAACTTTCTTGTAAGCATATTTTTATAAAATGAGTCACCTTTTTTGTCATCATGTATTTCTTCTTTTATAGAAATAATCACAAGGAGACAGGCTTGGTACAATAATACATATCTTATCTTAAGCCCTAGTATTTCCAATACACTAAATTTAAATTTTTAAGAATTTTTGAAACAGACTGAAAGTAAACATCAATCTGGGATATCAGCTGAGAAATTGAGGCTTTGTGCCAAAGTACATTGCATTGTAAGTTCCAAGTGGAACGTCCTAAATCTAAATCCATGAAGGCAACTGTTTCTGCACTTAAAAAGTCCGGATTGTTCTTAGTCATACTTGCTACATATATAGTAAAGCATATACCCCAAATCTACTGTCATTCTGAAAAACTCTTTGAGTGTGTGTAGCTTGACCCCTGGCAATGTATCTGCATGTGGAGACAGTTAATGCTTGATGTTGGCCAGACACAAGGAAACCTATTAAGTATTCATGATTAAAGTTATTGGGTTAAGGTGATGATAAATGCATGGGTCTTCTCCAATTTTAGATCTCTTCTAATACTTTAAATGAAAGTAAAAAGGATTCAGTGGCTAAATTAAAGACCTACTTGATCATTGAGTTTAGGTTTAAGTTGCTCTCAGAATATTAGAAGTTCTCTGAAATATAACTTGCTATTTTAAATATCTACTTACATTATTTGGTTAGGATTTATTTTATGAAAGTATGTTTGGGTTTTAAATTGAAATTCCAAAAATAAAAGCTAATTCTATAAATAAAAACTCAGATTAGAACATTTCATGTGATAAAAATTCTTTAGTCATTTTACTATTTCTTTTATTTATTTTTTTTATGTGTGTGGGTGTCTTGCCTGCATGCATGTGTGTGCACCACGTATGTGTGCCTGGTGTCCTCAGAGGCCAGAACAGAGGGCATCAGATCCCCTGGAAATGGAGTTACAGACAATTGTGAGCTGCCATGTAGGTGCTATGAACTGAACCCAAGTCCTCTGGAAAAGCAGCCAGTGCCCTTAATCACTGAGACATCTCATTAACCTCTAGTTTCTTATTTAAATTTAAATGGTAAAATAAAAACAGCAGACAAAGGTAGTTTAGAATTAGTGAATTAAAAATTCAGAGTACCCTTCTAAACAAGGTTATTTGGTATAGTCACAAACTCAAATGTCTTGTTATAATTTAGTATTGTTACATTCATTTACTGTAATTCCAAAAGATTTAGACAGTCAAGAAATTTTATATAAAAATTAATTTAGTAGTCCCCTATTCTCTGCAGTGGTGGTTCTATCTTTTTTGTTTGTTTGCTTAATTTATACAATGTTGGTGTTAATCCTTTTAGAGAATGTAAGGATTTCAAAAGTACATTTAATTAGTAAAAATAAAGTTATAAATTTTTTTTAATATTTGACAAGGATCTCTTTTATGTTGTGAATATGTAATATAAAATTTAAAGAAATGAAAGCAGAGAATGTAACTCAATATAGTGTTTGCGTAACATGTACAGTAACCTGTATTCATTCCCTAACACTTTGTAAACCAGCCATGGTTCACCCATAACTCAGAACATTTATGTAAAAGGGATCAGAAGTTCAAGGTCATCTTAACCTACAGAATAGATTTCAGACCAGCCTTTGCAGCATAAAACTGTCTCAAAAAAATTTTTTTAAGGATATCAGTCAATAAAGTGCTTGTCAAGCAAGGAGGAGAATTTGAAGCTGGGCATGGTGGCTCATGCCTTAAATCCCAGCACTTGGGAGGAAGAGGCAGGCAGATCTCTGTGAGTTTGAGGCCAATGTGGTCTACAGAGCGAGATCCAGGATAAACAGAGCTACATAGTGAGATTCTATCTTGAAAACAAACAGAGGATGAGGCCCTTTTGAGTTCAGTCCCCAGCAGCCATGTAAAAGGCAGCATGGTGACAATCAATTGTAGTCACAGCCCTAGAAAAGCAAAGACTGGAGGATCACGGTTAACACTAGGTTCAGTGAAGAGAAAATACCTAGTGTTGACCTCTTGGCTTCCATGTGCACGCACCTACTCATGCACATACAGATAAGTAAGTAAGTAAATAAATAAATGTAAAAAAGACAAGATCTGGCAAGATGGCTCAGCAGTGAAAATATTTGCTGCCACCACTGACTACCTGAGATGGATCCCCAAGACCCATACTAAAAGGTGAGGACCAGTTCCATCAGGTTGTCCTGTGACCTCCACATCTATGCTTATGTGTGTGCACATTCTCCTCTCTCTCTCTCTCTCTCTCTCTCTCTCTCTCTCTCTCTCTCTCTCTCTCTCTCTCTC